TACTTAGATTTGAGTTAAGAACTAAAAAAAACCACGTGGGAGGCAGGGAAAGTGCAAAATTTGAACTTTCAGTTAACTGTTGGCCAGTGAAAAGGGTGCCTGTCTGCTTCCTCACTCCTCCCAGCGTTTAGAGAGTGGATTGGGAGTCTTCAGACTGCCTGGTACTGCCTGGACTGTATTTTCCCTGCCTTCCCTGAACCTTTCTTGACCTAAGAAAAAAAGAAACAAAATATCCCCCTCTAGTGGTCGAAGGCAGAATAGCAGCTTCCCATTAGTTTCTATGGACGGAAAAGAGCAGATACGGATCAAATGGTTTTCAATGCATTCCTATGGGAAATGCAGATTTGACCTGAGAACTTTTTGACTTGAGAACCGCCTTCCAATACGGATTAAGTTCTCAAGTCAAGACCCCACTGTATCAAGTTACACTGCCAGTGCTTGTGGGCGGAATGTGGCCAGGGCATGTCACAACACTAGAGGGGGAGAGACGGAAGGAAGGAAGGAGTGGGAGGGGAGGGGGCAGGGGGGCTGCATGACTGCATTGTGCCATCCCTGTCAATAGGTGGACCCCCTCCTGGCCCCATAAAGCCGCCAGAGTCGAAGCTGGCAGCCTCTGCGGTCTGAGATCGCAGCTGCTAGTAAGCGCGCCGCTCACTCTCACGCGCGGGTAGGCGGACCACGCGGAGGGATGGGCGATGTCTTTCCGCGGTCCTGCCAAGGCCACGGAGCGGCGCTGTGTAACCTTGGAAATCCCATTGTCAGGGTGTGACACCTCTCTCTCAGATACCAGTGCCTCAGATACCAGTAACTATTTAGCTAATGGCCCCTTTACATTACTACAGGAATAAACGTGTTTTCTTTAATCATCTTCACTTACGTCCTTTCTTTTCGCTGCCACCAGGCCTTCGCTTCTCTCTCTCTATCTCTCTCCCCCCTCCACTGGATTTCATCCAAAGGGTAGAATCCTGTTGCCAGTCTTTCCCTGCCCATTCTGAACATGGGTGCTCTAAAAGTGCTGAAAAGACAGTGTGTTCTAAATGCAAAACATCTTCCAAATTGTAATGAAGACAAAAGTTCTACAAACGTAAGGCACCCTAATCAGGCTTTCAAGAGAAGTGAGATATTTTCCATAGCCGAATAGGAATTCAAATCAAAGGCTCCTTGGCCCTAGGCTGTTACTATACACTATGACACATTAAATATAATCAATAAAGGGATACAGGTATTTAGGGAGACTTCACATGCAGTTTTGAACTGTCCATAAAATGCCCCACCGCTTTCACTTTTTCCCATGGCAATGAAAGAACTAGAATTTGTTCTGAAATAATTTTTTTAAACTGACAATTTTTTATTAATTTTCTAAAATCTCACAAATAAGGCACCTTTTCAGTCCTGCAGAACTTTTCATCAGGCTGGCTGTTACAGAGTGCACAGTGCAGAAGAACGCAGCGGCCAGACTCCTTACTGGTGTGAGGAAATATCAACATATCTCTCCTACTCTAGCCAGGCTGCACTGGCTGCCATCCGTTTCCGCGCTGACTTCAAAGTGTTAACGCTTACATATAAGGCCCTAAACGGTTTAGGACCTCGATACTTGACAGAACGCCTGCTTCCACCTAGATCTACTCGGATCACCCGCACGAGCCAGGAGGTGAGGCTGAGGAGCCTAACGCCG